AGGGGGAACCTAGGATTTTAGGGCTCACCAAGGTAGGGGACCTTGATAAACCACCCCCCACTTTGGGTTAGAACCCTAAGGACTGCATCCAATAGTAAGGATTGACTGGATGTAAACACACCCTTGCATAAGGTAAAGCCTGGCTTTAAGTCATCAAGGTTGTCCAGAACATCTCAAAGCATGAAGTTAGATTTATGTGTGCATGTGAGGTTGGCAGATAGCACCAAAATTCTCTCTGGAGCTAGAAAACATTTTTATAGGCCTTAAATTATTTCTACAAATATTTTAAAAATACAATGTCCAACACACAATCAAAGATAACCAGGACAGCAGGAGACAATAGGAACAAAACAAACAATAGTCAATTCCTGTTTGCTTTCTAATATGATAAGGATGTTATTTGTATCTTAATGATCACAGATCATGAAACATTCAAAATGTTTTATCATTTAGCCATCGGAGAAAACAAACTGTAATCATTCTTAGGTTTAAGTCAGAAAGAAATTAATCTTCACAAACGTATAAAGTATTCCAAGTGAGGTCCAAAAGGCAATGGGAATTTCAAATCAAAGCAGCAAGTGATAAGATACTTTGGTCATAGAGTTACTTGAGTTCTTTTTTTTTTTTTTTTGAGACAGAGTCTCGCTTTGTTGCCCAGGCTAGAGTGAGTGTCGTGGCATCAGCCTAGCTCACAGCAACCTCAAACTCCTGGGCTCAAGCAATCCTGCTGCCTCAGCCTCCCAAGTAGCTGGGACTACAGGCATGCGCCACCATGCCCGGCTAATTTTATATATATATTAGTTGGCCAATTAATTTCTTTCTATTTATAGTAGAGACGGGGTCTTGCTCTTGCTCAGGCTGGTTTCGAACTCCTGACCTCGAGCAATCCGCCCGCCTCAGCCTCCCAGAGTGCTAGGATTACAGGCGTGAGCCACCCGGCTTGGGTTCTTATTTTACGCTGCTCATATCAGCATTGGCATTATCACAGTTATCACCAGAGCAGCTCAAGACACTCCAGTGGGAAACCTCAGAGAAAATGTGCTTTTGTAAGGCCTAGGGACAAAGATCTTTATCCAAGAGAAAGATGGCAAGGCCCCAAACTCAGGACACTGTAATGAAACTCTCATCAGATGAGGCCTTTTCAGTGGAAGACCACAATCAGAGTTCACCAAGAAGTAGGGCACAATACCCATCTCTCTGGAATGTTTAGAAGCAAAGTCATTTCCTCTCAAGGCAACTTCTGTTCACATGGTGCCACCTGAGCCAAAGCGTCCGCAGGTCTACTTGGGGTGCTTCTTTCCTTGGGCATCTACTTCATCTTCACACAGAACTGGCTCGGTGCCCGCGACTGGGGCAGGCAGCAGCAGCAGAGGCCATGGAGTTGGCAGGGCTTCAGCTTCTGAGCTGCGTGCTGCGAGCTCCATGGAGCACCAAGGGAGGCGGGGAGGAAGCAGGCTGCTGCCATTCATGGGGCAAGTCCCCCTGCCCCCAGCCAGCCTTGGCTCCTGCCGTGTTCTCCTGTGTTTCCTTCTGATGCCAGCCCTGCGGCTCACCTACTCATCATGACTTCTGTCTCTCTCCTCCAACACTCTCTTGTTTCGACTCGAAAAGGCAATGGGGATTTCAAATCAAAGCAGTAAGTGATGAGGTACTTTGGTTCTAGAGTTACTTGGCTTCTTTATGCTGCTCATATCAGCATTGGCACTATCACAGTTATCACCAGAGCAGCTCCCTCCTCCCCTCCTTCCATCGGCTACCAGCAACCATAAGTAGGAACAGAGCAGTAAAAAAGGAAACAGAAAAATCCTACTCTTTCAAAGAAAGGGTTGGGTGGAGTGGATAAGAGACTGAGACGGGATGGGGAGGAGCACTGGTAACTTCAAAAGCATTGGTCCTGCTCTAGTGACTTATTATTCATAGTTCTACACTGTCATTATCTATATACTTATCTGTCCATCTGTCTATCTTTGTGTCAAAAATTATAAAATCACAAAAATATAATTGTCTATAATTTTAACAAACCTTTTAAAAATAATAAGAAATCCTACTTGGAAGGGGTTTCTTCCAAGAGAATTGTAGGGCACAGGAATTAGGACAGTTTATAATTGTCCTAATAAAACTGTCCTAATTTCTGTGTCCCATAATTCTGTGTCTAAGTATCTACAATCCAAAGCAACATTTGGAATGGTCTGAATTGCACAATCCTTTGCCTCCGATATCTAGACGATGCCTTGATTACTGACCAACGGAGCTGACCCATGAACCTAGCAGAGCAGGGACATGTGTAACCAGCTTCTGGTGTTCAGCCCTAAGGCCTAGCTGGGAATGAGGTAGTCCAGGTGGTGCTCAGGAAACATGATGGGTAATTGACTAGTCGTTACAAAGTGCCCCTGTGCCATAATGATTACAGATTTATAACCTCGCCATTAATAAGACCTAGGAATGTCTCAATTCAAGAGTACGTTTCACTGATTAGCAGTCATATATTGGCATTTTGGGGGGCATATGTGGAAAGTAAAATTAGACTGCTTCCTGTCTATCTCTAATATCCACCCCCGGCAGACTCTGATTTATTTATATTATCTCTCTTTGGGTTTCATGCATTAACAAGAATATTTATATTTCCAAATCGGACTGTTGGAAAGGACTTATTTCACTTAAACACCCTTAAAAAGCATTAACAGAGCCACCACAGTATTTATTAAGTTTTATAATAACCTCTTTGTCTTAAATGAACTATTTGACCCCTTCCCTTTAAAGAAAACCCTAGGAATAGAAACATCACCATTACCACTGCCTGCCCATTATAACTGGGATCCAATTCTCAGAAACTGTAAAGTTATAGAGGTTTGTCTGTTTAAAATCCAAGATTACTAGTTGCTTTTCTATGACCAGAGGAAAAGCCAACCCTGGATTTATTAATTCTCTATAAATTCTCTCTGCCCAGCTTGGGTGTAGCAGTGAGCTCATTTATTTACTCGCATAGCAACAATATAATGAAAACTGAGTCTGGCCTTAAAAATACACCCTCATGAGCCACATCCATGGTTAACCCTTCCTAAATGCTTCTCTTGTGCTCATCAGGATTTTTTTTTCCCCTGTATTTTTGGGAAGTGATTTACTTTCCTTCAAAATCATTTTGTTGCCTGATTTCGTGCTAGAACTAAACCTTTTGCTAGCTACATCTAAATCACAGCCAGCCTCTTTCCCAAAATGAGGACAAAGTCACACAACCTAAAGCTCAGAAGTGGAGCAGTGCTCTTGGGTCACTTTCATTTGACATAGCATTGGGAGGCAAACCACTCCATGGAAACAGTGCCTTGATTGTTCAGCCCCTAGCCTGTCTCCCCCGCTGCTCTCAGGAAGCTCTTTGTGTGGTGAGTGCTAAAGCAATATTTAGTTATAGAGTGACCAAGCGCCAGAGAGCAGCTAGGAGCATTTAACATGAAAGAACATGACGGGAAATGACATCTGGGTTCCTCAAGTGGTTGAGGTCTTTCTCAGGACAAAGCCAAATACAGCCCGTGACAAGTTAGGCACTACAAAGCCATTTTGTATGTCGCATAGACTGAAATGTTCTTTGAATGAAAACTATAAAAGGCACAAGCATTTTGGCTGTTTTCATGTCCAAATAAATTCAACAGGACACTAAGCGCTAAATCTGACGTTCGAAATGGATTTTAGAGAGATGCCCACAGACTGCCCTTTCATGACTATGGAAAGGAGGTAAGGGATGAGAATTTGGGGACCAAAATGCTTATTGGTATTATTTCCTCCTAAATAGGAGACCTTTCATAGCTTAGTGGGGAGAGAAAAAATGCAATGGCTGATGGGGCAAACCACTCATGGGGCAGAACTGGGCGCCAGCTCCCATGGTGGCTGTCATGTGGAGAGATACCAGATCTACAAAATCCTTTGCAAAATCTAAGTGGATTAAACAGAGGAAACTGGGCAGAAAACAATGAGTCCTTGGATAAAATGCTTTCTTAGCTCTCAGTAACAAAGCAAGGATGCGAGTTCTTCATAATGAGGAACTCTCTGGAAGTTTTGGGTGTAGGACCTGCATCTGTCGAGCACCGATTCTTCCTGGCTCAGCACACCCGACCCCACCTGCCTGTGTCCTTGCCCCCTCTTGCCATCTTTGGGCTTGGCTGTCTTTTCAAGGACATTATGTTTCTGGACAGGAAGGTGGGCTGGATCCTAAAGGAAGGATGGGAAGGATTTGCCAATAATTAGGGGTCCAGTTGAAATTGATGTCTATGCTTGAGTGTCTTTTCTTTTTTGAAAAGACTCTTGAGGTCAGGTTATTTCATTAAACATTTCAAGTGATTCGGAGAAAGAATCAGATAAGGATATCCGGATCATAAAATTTTAGCAAAGACCATTAGCGGTCACTCAGCTTAAACTCACCGTTTTACAGTTGAGGGAACTGAAGGGCAGCGAGTTTCTCAGCCTGTTAATGGCAGAGAGGTGAAGGGGACCCTCGGTTAGCTGGGCCAGCAGCAGTCCAGTGTCCTTTCCTCAATGTCCTGTCACCTGTGCTAGGAATTTACCACTTTTCCAATTTCACAAATAAATAGTCTCAAAGAAAATTACTTCCTTAATGAGAAGCACAACTTGAAAGCTTAGTAACTCAAGTTGTAAGGTTCACCATTCACCTGCAAGCCCATTCTGGATGATGTTAACTTAACTTACATCTGGTTAAACAAAGTTATCCATTTGGAGTAAACCGAAGTCCTTTGAAAAGACGGTCTTGCTATACGGCAGAGAAAACCAACATAGACCTGCTCAGGACTTTTGGATCAGCCTGTTCTGAAAGTGATCACTGCAGCTGGGGGGGGGGGGGACACTTGCAGGGTCCTTAACTCTGATTCCCTCAGGCTACTCCCTGGATTGGAGGGAGGAGCCTGGGGTAAGCAACTTAATCCTTCCTGGCCAACGGGATGCTTTTTAGCACCCCCGTTGCTAATGAAGTGTCTAAATATGCCTTCTTCTTCTAGGGCTTGGCAACATCACCCATTTGCTGGGATGTAAAAATCATTAGCGTTGGAGTCAGACAGACGTGGGCTCAAGATCCATCCGGCCTTTTCGGCAAGTTACTCACTTCTCAGACCTCAGTTCCCTCCTCTGTGGAGAGAAGGCTGTGAGCCTTGTTGAGAGGCTCAGATGACACTATGCCGCTAACGCCCCTAACGTGGAGCCCAGGCTCAAAGGCGCTTGGGGTCACCCCCCTCTCTAGTTCTAAAACTACCCTGCAGAATGAGTTGAAAGCAGTAAGTAACTTAACACCACTAACGGCTGCACAGATCATTGGTGGTAAATTTGAAAACAAAAGCTATTCCTATAAATAACCGGTTCAGGTGTGCCATGCTTTAAGAAAACCAAATATAAAGATTATTCAAATAAATCAGATGTGATGATGACATTGCTAAAGACTTCTTTGCTTCAAAAAACTGATGTGCTATAGGGACTCTTTGAAGAGAAGACTCTTTGGTACTGTTTACTGTTACTGGAGTTTCATCCAACTTCTGAGGAAGGCATGCTGTTCTATTGTGAGGGGCACCTGTCCTCCGTAAACAGGAGTGGCACACCTCTCTAAAAGTTGTTGCGACAACTAGGTTTATGGCTCAACTATTTCGAAGCCAGTGCATTTGATAGCTGACAGTCTCTAGCTCTGCATTTTGTATGATGTATTCAAGCAAGTCTGTATTTAAAGATGTGTTTGACCAATATTAAATCTCAGTTTCATTATGAAATAAAGTAAATAAATTTATTCTTTTCTCTCCCTCACAAAAGAGAGTTATCCACTTTGCTAGACATCAGACTATACACAGTCTCTTACCTATTCACTCTGATAAGCACAGCCTCTTAGCATGAAATCATCGAAAAAGAAGATTCACCTCTCTTTGCTTTGGTGTGGGTTTATAAGAAGTTACTAATGCACTCTTAGAAATATGCATTATCTATGAGCTTTATAACAAAGTGCAACTGAGTTTGAAGGCTTTGGCATTGATCAAACAAAAAGGACCTTTGTTCATTTTTAAGGAGGTGTTACAGTTTGCTCGTTGCATTGGTGTGGGTGACTTGTCTTGGAAAAGACACTTCTCATTTTCAAAGTGAGCTCATAAAACCCTGCTCTTCAAGTGCTGAATGACTTCCAATTTTGTGTAAGATTTAAAATATATCTTGATTCTTCAAGGAAGAGATTTTAGGTGAAAGTTCGGTTCTCCGCATAGCACCCAAAGCCACATATTGAGGAAAACAATTCATTTAAACTAGGATTATCCTTATATAGAGACGCACAACTCTGGGACATAGTTGTACTTCATTGAGTTTGTAAGTGGAGAGACCAGAGGTACTCTTTACCTTGGAAGTATTTTTAGGTGTGTGTGTAGGAAGCACAGAACAAAAGAAAGTGAGATGAAGTCACAGTTTATCTTCTATGGGAGCTTTCATTTCCTCTAAATCTATTTTTTACTTGTTGGTAGACAAGTCATACTGCTAATATATAGCAGTTAGTTGGCTGGTATCTGAGCGTTGCTCTGGGCAACCAGATTTCACAATGCCTCCAATTCCAAGAAAGGAAGTCCCTGGTTCCTTAGCCAACAAGCTAAGAGTGTCTGTGTGTGTACATGTGTGTGTGTGTACGGGTGTGTAGTTTGTGATGACTCAGTGTCTAAGAAGGTACAAACATTGTAGCTAATCTATTTCTGGTTCTTATGTTACCTTTCAGGAATGGGCCTGAAAGATGGGGCTAAAACCTTTGAATCATTTCCTGCCAACGTTTGGCTGTGTTCCATTTTGAAAGGTAGGAAATGGTCCTTAACAATGATGTCATGGGGTCTTGGGAAATCTTAATATGACTTGAGTTTCCTACGTGCCACCTCAAGGCAACACTTGCCCCAGCCTAGCAGGCCATTAAATTTTTGAGGAGCCCATGAGCGCCCTCGAGATCAATGAAATGTACAACGTATTTTGGGACCATAGAGGAGGGAGAGACTGCTGGGTTGCAAAGAGGAAGCTTCACGAGGGAGATGAACCTTGAAGTGGGTTTTACAGACTGACTGAGGCCAAGCACGGTGGCTCCTGCCTGTAATCCTAGCACTCTGGGAGGCTGAGGCAGGAGGATTGCTTGAGGCCAGGAGTTTGAGACCAGCCTGAGCAAGAGTGAGACCCCATCTCCACAAAAAATAGAAAGATTAGCTGGGTGTGGTGGCATGCACCTGTAGTCCCAGCTACTCAGGGGGCTGAGGCAGGAGGATCACTTGAGCCTAAGAGTTGGAGGTTGCAGTGAGCAATGAGGACGCCACTGCACTCCAGTCTGGGCAACAAAGCGAGACTGTGTCTCAAAAAAAAACCCCAAACAAACAAAATTGAAAAAATGACTGATTAGGAGTTCACAGGTAGAAGAGAGGAATAAGGCATTCTAAGTAAATCATAGCATATGCAAAGGAAACTCTGCTCCTCAGTAGAAAATGCCTACTTCTCCTCTTTAGGCAACCATAGAAGAGTTAATCAGTCTTGTTGTCTAACTTGGGCAAAATGCACTGAAGTTAAACCCTCAGACAAGCCCAACTTTACATCAATTATGCTTTGCTTCAGGTGCTCATTTATTGTGTATAGATAGTTACAATTACAGGAAACAGGTGGTGACATTTTCAAAGGCCCTTCAGGGGGGAAATTACTGTATATAATCTGACACCTTTCATACCAGGTGGCAATGAGTTGGACCGTGGGCTTTGAACACTGTGCCATGGTGTATGTGTGATAAGATCAGAGCCACCTTTCAGCTTATGTAGAGGTTAATGCTAATGTTATACTTCGATTCTGGCTCCTACCTTGTTTATTTATTCATTGGGCTGCCTAGAGCAGTCAAGAGGTAGCTATGGCCTCTGCCTTGACAGAGCTTGTAATTCAGCCCCAAACTGATCTTCAAAGGCAGCAAAGCAAGTCTCAATCCAGCAGTTAGAATAAAAGCGACAGGTCTAATAATAAAAGCAGTATCAGAGAAACACATATAATTCCCCATGCAGACCAAGCATGAAATGGATGCATCCAGGTGGCAGTTTCGCTGATCTCTGAAGCAGAGAAATGAGGTTATTTTAGACCTTTGGAGGCCTTCAGCTTTTGGACATTTGGAGACTTCATTCACCCCAAACTATACTCCCATATTAAGGGGAGTTTTTGCTTTTAAAAAATTGAAAGCCTTTTTTCTTCTTTTGTAATTCAGCTTTTCAAATTATTTGACTATGAGTAAGTCCTTTAATTTAGAATTGCCTGTGAGTTTTTGGCAGTCATGACGCATATTTAGAAAGCTTTGCAAAGTGAGAAAAACCTAACCTACAAATTATTTTCAAATGGAATGAAATCGTTATGAGCCCTAAATTTAAAAATTAATGGGGTTGACATGATACTGTTTCTTAGACATTTGTCTAAATGTTTATGAATTTCCATTTTGCAGTTTTTGTGTTTCATATTTTGGAGCCAAAAGACCTTTTATTCAGCTCTTGAACATTCTCGTAGGCCCTGAGCATTTAGCCTACAATGCCTAATGGATAAAACAGCCTTGCACACAAAACCCAGAATGAAAAAGACCAATGAAATTAAGTTGTCAGTGTATATAGTTTCCAGATAACTTTGAGAGTTCTTTTCCACCCTTTGCAGAATTCTTGCAGAACCAGAGAGAGAGCCACATACTCAAAGGGCACATCATATTGCTAGTAATGACGTATTTATACGTTTGGCATATAGCAAGAAACAGGGCTGATGTATTAATAGTTCAAAATAAACTGAGAAAAGAAAGAAAAACAAGGTAAGCACTGCTATGCTAAGCACTGTGCCACTTAATGCTCACTGCAGCCCCACGAGGTGGTTAGGATCATTCCCATTTAGCAGATGAAGAAACCAAGGCTAGGAGAAGGTGACTTGCCAAGGGATACGCAGTTGTGGGGAAACAGAACCCAGAGGCAGCCTACCATGAAGCCCACGGTCCTTCCACGGTTCTCATGCCGTCTCCCTGCTTCCTAAAAGGGTGATTATATGGGGACCTTTCTTTCTCTAAATCCTGATTTAATAAGTGATGAATGTCCTTAGCGTGTGGGATGCAGGAGGGTGGGTAGGGGCTGGAGTTTCCCGGAGAGCAAAGTTGAAGTGACAGAAGGCAAAATTCACTGTCTTATTTGCTTTTTTTTTTTTTTCCTTAAGTGATTCATGAGTAGAAAAAAACTGTGGTTGGATAAAACTTCCGAAGCCCACAGTCTGTGGCAACATCAAGGGAGTTCTGAACTATGGAAAGTCCCGAATCACAGTCATACTGGAACACATCCCAGCCCTTCAGGGTCTCTTGACAGTGTTTCTCAAAGCGTAGTCCTGGCCCCTCCCCAGAACTGTGCGAGGAGCTTGACAAATGCAGAGTCCTGGGCCCCAGCCCAGACCTACGGGGTTAGAGCCTCTGAGGGGATCGACCCGGGAATCTACATTTTAACTCACCTCCTCTACCTCTCTGCGTGGTTCTACGTTCATGAAAATTTTAAAACTACACTTTGGTGGTTCAGAACAAAAGCCTGCTGCCTCCTCATTTTCTTGTTTAATAGCCTTTAAGCACCATAGCGTAAACTACCAGGAATAGCTAGTTCTGGGCTCACCACCATTTTACAGATGGGAAATTAAAAGAGAAAATGAGCAAATTGCTTTATTTAGCAAGTCAGTAAAACTGCCAAAATGAGAACTAAAAAAAAAAAAAAAAGATAAAGCCAGGCCATATCCCCACTGCACTGGGATTATCTCCTGGGGCCTTGGTTTAAGTCACTGGTATGATTCCCACCCACTGAGAAGATCCCATGCCCCGGGGAGATGTTGACAGAGGTTTTTAAAACAGTTGTCTAAAAGGTTAAAATCACCTCTTAGCAGCTAAGCCAGCTCTACTATGAAAGAAAGGGAAGAAGGAAGAGAGAGAGGGAGGGGGAGGAGAGGAAGAGAGAGAGAGAAGAGTGGGGAAGGGAGGGAGGGAAAGGAAGGAGAGGCAAGCTCGGTTCCTGTCCCGTGGGGGTGTGAGCCAGTGGCCCTGGGGACAGTGCAGGGGGCACACAGCCCAGAGACCCGGAGGCACCAAGATGCTTTCAAGGGGTCAGGAGCATGGGGACGCTTGGCATTTGGCAGGGAGGGAGCCAGGACTGCCCCCGCCCCCATCCTGGCCAGGTCACCGGCTCAGCCCTGACTGCGTGCGCGTCAGGCATGCCCTCCGCCCAGCCGCCCGCAGCCCCTGGAAGGGCTGGCAGAGGTCCTTTTCAGAAGCAGGATTCACCTGCCTTTTGCTAAACATAAACTGTCCTACTGGGCGTAGAATTAAAACACCAAAACAAAACGTGAAGCTTGAGTGCCTGAGGGTCACCCTAGCTCCTGGACTTCCACGTGAAGGAAGGCGAGGCCAGCTCTCCGCCCGCTGACGGGCCCAGGAGCAAGTCCGCAGGGCAACTGTGGCGGCGGACGCCATGGGAAGGAGTCTGAGGTTTTACACGTCTCAGACTTGGAACTGAAAAGGTTCAGTCTAAAAAGGAAAACATGTCACCTTGCTGCCAAAATCAACTATGATGAAAGTTTAGAGCCCACCACTCTCAGCCAAGCATTTCCTGTTCTGGCCTCCCCGTCTGCCTCGCGCTGGCTGGGATGAGGGAGAGCTATTTTTAAGGTGCAAACAACCAGGACTAAGAATGAGAGACGTTTCTTATTTATAGTTATGCCTTTCAACTGTTCTTCTCCCCTCTGGAGATAGAGGCCAGGTTTGGTTTTCCCTTTGAATCTAGAATCTCTGGGGGTAAGAAGGACTTTGAAAGGTCATGACTCCATCTGTCGCCTCGAGCCTGGCATGGACCGTTGTCCTGGGCAACCCGGGCCAGAAAGCTCTTCCCCACTCCTTGAGCACGTTGGCTTGTGCAGCACATGTGC